GCTAGCAGTCGTCCCTCTCAGCAAGGAGGACGGCACTTAGAGCATGGTCAGACACTGCTAGATACATATAGAGCACTTCTTTGGGCAAAGGGCTGACCAGCCTTGGTAAAGAGTGCAAATGTTCTTTCAGCTTTTGGAAGGCCGCCTCAGCATCCGTCCCCCACTCAAACATAGCTTTCTTTTTTATTGCCTGAAAGAAGTAGAGGCATTTGTCGCCTGCCCGGCTGAGAAATCTCCCCAGGGCCGCCAGACAACCTGTTAACTTCTGGACCTCTCGGACAGTGCGGGGCGACTGCATGTCTATGACCGCCTGCAACTTCTCGGGGTTAGCCTCTATACCCCTTTGATTGATAAGAAATCCGAGGAACTTCCCAGACTCAACTCCAAAAACACACTTCTTGGGATTGAGCATGACATGGTGCCGCTTGAGTGTGGTGAATGTTTCTTGGAGGTCGGCCAAATGGTCCGTCTGGAGTTTGGATTTCACAATCATATCATCTATGTACGCCTCCACATGCCTCCCAATTTGATCAAAGAAGACCATGTTTATCATTCTTTGGAAGGTGGTCGGGGCGTTCTTCAAGCCAAACGGCATGACCGTATAACAGTATAATCCCTAATCTGTGACAAAGGCTGTTTTCTCTTGGTCCTTCTTCCATAGGGGAATCTGATGGAAGCCAGATTAAGCGTCCATAAAACTCATTAAGGCGTGACCGGCTGTAGAGTCGACTAGACTGTCGATCTTAGGCAATGGATAACTATCTTTAGGGCACGCCTTGTTCAAGTTTGTGTAGTCCACACACATACGCCAGGTACCATTCGGCTTTTTCACAAGTACAACGTTTGCAACCCAGTCAGGGAAATAACATTGCCGAATGAACCCTGCATCAAGTAACTTTTTAACCACGGTGGCGGCCGCCTGGTTTCTTTCTTCACCATGGTTCCGCTTCTTTTGCCTAACAGGCTTCTTTTTCGGATCCACAGCTAGCTTATGCACTGCCAAGTCTGGACTTATACTTGGCATCTCGTGTACTTCAAATGCAAAGATATCCTTGAATTCTTTCAAGAGTTGGTGAAAGTCATCACCAAGTGCAGCAAGAGCAGTCGTCCCAACCTTAACTGTTCGGTTAGGACGTGAGTCGTCCAGGACGACGTCCACATGCTCGCCAGCCGGCTGAGGGCAGAACTCGTTTGACCGCTCCTTGGCCAGTGATTGCTATCGCTTTTCTTTTCTTTCGGCCCCTAGGTGGGCGACCTTTCTCTTCTTGCCGCCTGCTACTTGGGCAGGCGCATCATCCCTGATTTGCTCAAGGTTAGTTTTCTCTCCACTGGGACCAGCAGTCGCCATAGTGGGTTTGATATCTGAGAGGTAAGACTCTCTTGCCATCTTCTGGTCTCCCCTTAGGGAGCCGACTGATCGATCATCCCTTTCAAACTTGAGGAGCATGAGAGATGGTATGATGATAGCCTTTGAATTATTTAGGGTGGGTCGCCCCAAGATCATGTTGTATGCCGAGAGCTCCTCGACTACCAAGAACCGGACTACCATGTGACGGCCCTCCCCTTTTTCACCCAGGTGGATAGGTAGATCCGCCCGTCCTAATGGATGTACGACGCGTCCTCCAAACCCCACCAAAGGGTGAGATACCGGATATATGCTGCCAGGTTTGTACTTGAGCTTTGACAAGCACTTGTTGCTGATTAGATCAGAAGAACTGCCGGTATCTATGAGGATCCGGCCAACTCTCTAGTTGGCCACTTTGCATTCAATTACAATGGGGTCGTTATGCGGCCCCCTAACACCTCCCAAGTCTTCTTCTGTGATGACAATTTCTGGAAATGAACTCTTGGAGGTATGTCCTTGGTTGACGGAGTTAACATCCAACTGCCTGATGTTGGCTTTATTGCCCCTGATTGTGGGGCCTCCTCATGCGAAGCCGCCTGCTATGGTATAGACGACGGCGTCGTCAGTGTCAGAATTGTCAACCGACTGGTTCTTCTTCTTGGCCGCCTGTTTCTGTTTGGGGGGTGCATTCCCCTTCTTGACATAGGAGTCAAGATCCCCTTTGTCTTCCAGGCGGTCCAGAAGGCGCTTGAGACTGATACATTCATTGGTTTCGTGACCAATGTCCTCATGATAATGGTAGTATTTACTTTGGTTCCGATTGCTGACAAAACCCTTCATGGCGGCCGGCTTCTCAATTGTGATCTGACCCTTGATTTCATTAAGGATGGCTATCCTTGTTGAACTCATACTTGGGGGAGTATGGTTTATATTCCTTCTTCTTTTTCTGGGACGGCTGTTCAGAGGAGTCGGCCGCCCAAATTTCTTTTCTCTTTTTATCTTCTTTATTTGCCGACTACTTTGGTCGGCTCTCTCTTTTGTCAGACCTCTTGCCGTCCGACTGTTTTCCAGTATTACAGAGGTCGGTTGCTTGAATATAGGCATCCACCTCTATCATGGCTTCTTGGAGGGTGGTGACCCTCTTCCTGACAAGGTCGAATTTGAAGTTCGACCCGTCCTTAAGTCCTCTGAAAAAATCAGTATAGGCTACCTCATCCGGCAGCCCCTGGATCTGAATCCTCATCAGGTTAAACCGCCTGATGTAGGAACGCAATCCCTCCTTTTCTCCCTGTTGTATAGTCCCTAGATCAAGGGTCGTCTTCTTAGCAAGGATGTTCATCGCAAAATTTGAGGTGAACAAGTAAGCGAGGGTCTTGAAATTGTTAATACAACCGGTCGGCAGGTTGCCAAACCATTGTTGGGCAATGCCCTTCAATGTGGCCGGGAAACATTTACACCATGTGGGATCATCCAACCCTTGAAGATACATTAGGTTGGTGAACGCCATCAGATGATCTTCAGGGTTGGTAGTGCCATCAAAGGCTCCTACCAACACATTCTTCACTTTGGCCGGCTTGGCAGCCTCAATTACCTCCTTCGAGAAGGCGGATGGCTGTTCTCCAAGTCTAAGCAACCTAAGTTGCCAGTCCAAAGGTTAGACATTCCTTGCCGCCTGTCCTCCAAACAGAGTAGGCTGCATAAAATATTGAGGTTGTGGTACATATGGCTGGGGTGGCACATACGGGGCCGCTTGATTTTCTAGGAGCCGGACCGGTAGAAGGTACCGCCTGTCTGGCTGTCATAATTTGATTTTGAATACCTCAGGGAGGCATTGTGGAGACTATCTTGAAAATCAGACGTAGAGGCCGACTCTGATAGTCGGTCATTCTTCTTTTGCTCTAGCAACATTCGAGCATCAGAATATGTTTTCTTCGACCCGTCTGGCTGAACATGACGGATGGGCTTTCTCTTCCCTGGAGAGGGGAAGCGGTATTTAGTTAGATCGATCACTGGTGGCTCCCACTCCCTAGGCTTAGGGTAAGGAGTCGCCTCCCGATCTTTTACAAGCTTCTTCCTCCCAAACTGGGAGGGTCTTCTGGCCGACTGTTCCTTTGGTGGGACAGTCGTTCTTTTGTTCATAAGTTCCTGGATCTCCCCTTTGAAACTATTCATGTAGGTCATGAGTTCATTTCTGGTGATGGGGGCAGATCCCTCGGCCGCCTGCGGATGACCAAGCGACTGGCCAGCTGGTTTACTAGATCCAGCTAGGAAATCCTCCCGTTCCTTCCTTTCGGAGGAACGGGTGCGTCGAGCTCTTAAGGTCCCGTCAGAGGCCGTATGAGTCTCGACTTTAAATTCATTGTCAGTGTCCTGGCTCGTCTGAACCAGGGGATCGTCCATGGGACGTTTGTCACTTTGATTCGGTACAGACTGTGATTCCATCTCGAAAGTACTCTCCCCACAGACGGCGCCAAAATGTTTCGGGGTTTTTTGATGTCCTGCGGGAGAGTTACAATTTCGGGACTGGAATCCTTGCGCCTGTACTTGCAAAACAACGAAAACTCCGGTTGGTGGGAGCTCCACCTCCGACGATCAAGTTAGTACTTGTAGGTGGAGTAAAAAGGTGCGGAAAGTAAAGACTGATCTGGTTCCTCTAGGGGGAGGAGTGATCAGGAAGTGCAAATAATACTAACTCTAGTCTAGCGATTAGTATGCACGTGTGTTTTGACTTCTCTAGGTGAGAGTAATCAATTCTGAATAATCTTAAATGGAGGCTTAATTATTGTATTTATAGCCTCGGGATGCATGCCCAATATTAGGTTTAGGTTAACCTAGGGCTAATTTGGCCTTTCTCGGAAACCGGGCCCCGGTGGTCGTTCTCCAAGTGGGCAGACAACAGGCCACGTGGCGTGGCGCGATTGGTCCATGCTGGACTGATTGCTGCTTGACACGTGTCGAGTCCTTGCTGGTCCATGTGGCGGACACATGGCAGGACCTGATTGGTCCTTATGGCAGACAGTGATTGGTTGGGGAAAAATCCCCTAATCATAAACCATGTATAAACAATTTAAGTTTCACATAGACCATTAATAAATCATTCAATCAAAATCATACACACAATATCAAAACAGTACCATCCAGTTTGCAATTGGTATTAATATCAAATACAAACTCATCACTTATTGGTTTTACATGCTACACAATTATATCACATTGAAGGTTAGAACTGAGAACAACCTCCATACTTATGAAGTGCACAGCATATGATATATTACCAATTTCATACTACAATAGAAAGCATACAACAAGAAATAACTACATCCCTAAACCCACAAATTAAAGCTGCAAAATTCAACAAACAAAGCATACAAGTTGCTATTCAACAACAATACTAATTAATGCTAATATCACTACTCATAATTCCACTAATAATTAGACTAGTTACACAACAACAGGCGCAATCATGAATCAATAAACCTAACAAATTAGAACTGCAAAATTCTTCAAATACAATACACTAACGAACCTCTGCACTATGACTACCACTAACATCGCTTAATCCATCAACAAAATGCATTTTCATTCAATTTTAGCTATGGCAGAAATAATTCACCAGTTTCACCTTCCAGATGTGGAACAATAAATTATCAACACAACAAATCGAAGACCCAAATTTGAATTTCCTTCTTCGTTTTACAAAAACCAAAACATTCAATTGGAAGGAATTCAATGGCAAATTAAATTAAATCACGTTATTTTATTTAGTGGAAAAAAGAATAAGAATTTGGAAATAATAATGCAATAAATTGATGGGAAAAAAAAAACTCCCGCTATCAACTATAATTTGGCGGAAACCACAAATAAGTTAAACAAAAAATGACAGGGACCCACCACAAATCTGTCCTTCATTTTTTTTATTTTTTATAGTTGCTTTTTAATTATGTACTCCCTCCGTTTCGTATTAATCGTAACTCTAGGGTGTTCACAAAGTTTAAGAAAATATATAGGGTGGAGCCAAAAAGAAGATTTTTTTTATAATATAAAGTATTGTTGGTAGGAGAGAGAAATAATAAAAAAGTAGTATAAGTGGGGTTGATAGGAAAGAGAAATAATAAAATATTTGTGAAAGTAGGGTTAGTGGGAAAGAGAAATCATAAAATAATGATGAGTTATTTTCAAATATAAAAGTGTTGCAATAATATGAAATAAATGTAAAAAGAAAGTGTAGCAATTAATACGAAACGGAGGAAGTAGTGCTGTACACATGGGGGGCCCACACTTACTTGAGACCTCAAAGAACTTTAAGGTAGAAAAATTCTCTTACTAAGGGTCTTTTCTATTGAGCTTAATTTCATTTCAGTTTAGTTTAGTTCAGTTTAGTTCAGCTCCAATCAGTTCAGTTCAGTTCTTATGCTAATTTATTTGTTTATATGATTTAGCTAATGATATTGTTAATGACAATTAGTTTAGGCATGCCTTTGGGTCGATCTTTTTAAGGTTATCTTTATGTCTAATGATATTGCTAATGATAATTAAAGCCAAATTTCATACTTTTTAGTATATATTACAACGACAACGACGACGACAACAACAACAACAATAATAATAAATAATAATAATTGTTCAAATGGTTATAATGGAAGTGCGTAGTTTTGGGTCTTTGTTTCCTTTTTTTTTTCATTTTTTTATTTTTGGATATTTTCTTCGTTTGTTTTTTTTTTGGTTTGTTTTTATTCATTTTTTAACAGCCAAACTATTACAGTAGATTAATTCACAGGCATTAATTAACATGAAAATAAAAAATTTTAAAAAAAAAGAAAAACTATTAGTGGATTAATTTTGAACTTTAATTTATTTTTCATAATTAGTAGTGGATTAATATCATTACTAATCCATAGTTAAAAATGATTAATCCATTGTCAAATATTTCAGTTCAGTTCAGTTCAATTCAGCTCAAATTAGTTCAGTTTAGTTCATTTTAGTTGTTTCCAGTAAATCGAAACAAGTCCTGAAATGCTCTTACTTGAGTCCTAGAGAACTTAAACTAGTAGAGATAGAGAAATTCTCCATTTCAAAGTAGTAACATGGTACAACTTCCGAGCCACGTACTAATCGTGTAAATTAAAAAGCTGTAGGGGTGATCACTAAAAAACATTACCATCTTGGTACAGACAGACAACAGCTGAACATCACTTTCATAATACACCACCACCCAAAAAATATAAAAAAAATTAAAATTCACCCTTTGCACGTGCTCCTCACCAATTTCCCCACTATCTTCCTTCTCCTCCAAAAATACACTAAAAAAATCAAAATTTAAAAAAAATACAAGTATTAAAAAAACAAAAAACAAAAAACACAATTCATTTCTTCCTCCTCCCTCTTCCTCCTCCTCCTCTTAGCGTGCGCATCACATCAAATCACCAAAATTCATTCAAACCCCAACTCAAATTCCCCCATCACATCACCATTATGTAGCTAAGCTCAGCTCAGCTTAACTACACTCACTTTACACTCCATTGAAGACCAATTTCACATTTTAGAGAGAGAAACAACTTCTAGAGAGAGAAACTGTTTGTTGTTTGTGTGAAGATGCAGATACAGATGCAAGCTTACAACAGACTACCAAGCAGCGGTCATACGACGCCATCTCCGCCGCAATCTCCGTCAGTAAGGTCGCCGAGGTACCGCCATGGAAGGTCTAAGCAAGGTCGACCTGGACCTCCACCTCCCAGAACAATGGCGCATCGTTTGGCTTACTTGGTTTTATCAGTTTTGTTGAGGAGACAAGGGATTTTTTTATTTGCGCCGTTAATTTATATTTCTGGGATGTTATTTTATATGGGTACTGTTTCGTTTGATGTGGGTCCTGTTATTTCGCATCATCCTGCTCCTGGGTCTGTTTATCGGAGTCCGCAGTTATATTCCAAGCTTCGGCCGGAGATGGATGCTGATAATTCTACTGCTGATGCGGTTAGTTTGTTGTTGTTTTGAGATTTTGATTGGTTTTTGTTTTTGTTTGATGGAAATTTTGTTTCGGGATTGATTTGTTTGTGTAATTTGGATGTGGGGTTGCCTTGTTTTTCGATTCGGGTTTTATCGGGTTTTGATTGGGATTTTTGTGGGGTTGGAGGGGGATTTTTGGGATGGGTTTTGTAATGTGGGTTGTTATTTTGATGATTGGAGCTCTGATTTGTGATTAGTTAGGGAAATAGAGAAAGAGAAGGAGATTTGGTCCCAATTTTTGCTTCTTATGGTGAGATAGATGTGATTTTAGGATGTATTAGTTTTGCGAGTATTTGGAAACTAGTTGAAGGTAATTAGGATCATTACTCTCGATTTAGTGAGACACATTATCCTAGTGGTTTCTCTTGAGAATTGCTTTGCCATTTACTATGCGCCGATGTTGAGTGTCCCCTCGACATGTCACAGTTTTCAGTGGAGTTGAGACCCTGCTGGTTGTGCATATATAGCAATAGCAGTGTGGTTTTACTGTGGTTGCCTGTTTGGTGCAGAATTTATTCATCTTTGAAAGCTCCAGTTGCGTTATTTTATTTTGTCTCAAAGTCATAAAAAACCTAGGTTTACTGTTGCTGGTGAAAGCTTGTAGCGATATAAACATACTGGCAACATAGCATAATAAGTGCCCATTCCGAGTGATTTTACACCGGATCTATGTGCCTATGTGGTGCACTCTTGTCTATCTAGCAAGAAGGGCGCAAGCTGGAATTATAAAGGGCTTGTGAGTTATGATCACAAAGAAACACAAGTGAGCGTTAAGTCTAATAGATGCTCTAGCTTGTTGGTGACATAAACAGGGCTTGTGATGGCCAAGCAAGTTGAGGTGGGCCCAAGTGGGTCCGATAGTGAACTTTATCTTTCTAAGGGTATGTTGATAATTCATCTGTTTTGTGAAATTTAAAACATGTGGCAACGCAATATATATAGAGACCTATGACAACACACACAAAAGGTAACAATGGGTTGGAGGCTTGGATTTCATTAATCAATTGCCTCCTAAAGAGCTTCTTTTTGGATTTACAATATTCTCCTACAAACTCTGGATTGAAAGTAGAAATAACAGTAGCATCTAAATCCTAGAGAACTTAAAGAAAAGTCCTAGAATGCATCAAAGACATTGATAGGAGGTTTGATTCTAACAATAAGCATAGACAACAAGCAAGATGTATCTTTCACTTTTGTAAGAACCATTCCAAGCGAGTGATTTCCATCCCTTTCCAAAAAGCCAAGGAAATTTTGTGCTATGGAATCGATAACAATACAAACAATTCTTTATCCTCATTGCCTTTCTTCCCAGTTAGACTTTTCATAATTTTGCCTGACCTAGGATGGAAATGACCTGAATCAGTTTCAATCACGATGGGTTGTGAACATTATTTGCTAACCAGAACTTGCTGGAATTCAAAGCTATCTGCTAGAAAATGGGTCAAATCAGCCTCCTTGAGATCGACCCATTGGGTTGAAGCATACAAGTTCAATGCATATTCAATTTTTTTTGCCTCTTTTTATTCCCTCCTGTTAGGCTTTTTACTTTATATAATTTATCTTCTCTGCCCTTTTGGTTTAGTTTAGTGACATATTTTTTGTTAGGCACACTATCAAAACCTGTGATGAAAATGAATTAATACTAATCTATATCAGCTTGATAAATCAATAATATCTTATAGTTATTGCTGTTAGAATATTTGATATTGAAAGGTTATAGAGTTTATATGTATATCTAACAATGGTAAAAAGACACTTTCAACATGTTGGGTCAACCCGAAACTTAACAATTTTGGTGATAATCAACCATTTCTTGACCTATATTCAAAACAATCCTTCCGATAAATGATTGAACCTTATAGACCTGTTAGCTTGGCAATAAAAGAAGAAAATGGTTTTGGAATATTTTGTTGGGTTTCTATGAACTGCAGGTGATTGCAATTTATCTAATGCTCACCTTCTCGAGGTTGAGGCCAATCTTACTAGAGCTCTAGGACCCATAATGAAGTTATTCTCTAATGGTGCCACTAACAAAATTGTGGAAATATAGATCAATATTCATGACCCTTTTTTCTATACCATAGCTCACATATGTTGCGTTACAGTTTATGGCTTCACTACCTATTTTGCATAGAACCTTTGGAATAAAAGTTTTTCCCCTTATTAAGCTGTAATCCCAACTGAGCATGAATGGAGGTTGTTGATTCTCAAAAGAAAAAACTAAAAGCATATATAAAAGGAGGCAGAGTGCTGACCATTGACTACTACCGTTAATAATAATTGAATAAAAAGGTCCTCCGATTTGTAGAGAATCTTCGAAACGGTCATCTGGTGGTTTTTTGTGATCATTATCACTATTTGAAAACATTAGTTGCCAATTTCATAGGCTTTTTGCATCTCTACATGGTTGCAAAGTACTATTTCATGGTATATCCCCAGGGACTTGAAGAAGTTTAATAGCTATCCTTTGAGGAAGTAGAGGAGAACATAGTTCGATTTGGGAATCAAACTTCGGTATATAATGTTATTAGGGTTAGCTAACAAGATAACATGTAAGACCTTCAGTTGGTCTTCAATTCTCTAGGTGAACTTTGATGCTAGGAAATGGAAAATTATGTTTTCAAGTTGTAAAAGACCTTACCTAGTGACCTAAATGGTGTTTGCAAAGGTGGTTGAAGGCTAGTATGGGCTGTAAAAGGGCAACACGACCTATGTAAATCATGTCATGCAAGCTGTGATTCTTCACACGACATTGTTTACGCTATAAGCTCATGTCCGTCACTGCCTCACTGGGTTATTATTTTTGCTGTAATTCTATGGATTTTTGGTTGGGAAAGAGCATCTAACACTTCAACGGTAGATGTACATGGTGAGTGCTTGTGGGGTAGAATATTCCGTCTAATATTACTATACACCAATCCTTTGGGATTTTGTTGGGTTTGTCTTTGATGATATCAAGTCTGATTGCCATGCTCTCTATGCACTTTGATTTAGACGACACATCTTCTTTTATGGTTGTTCTTTATTATTATCTTCTTTTTTTTTTTTTTTTTTTTTTTTAAAAAAAAAAAAAAACTCTTTTCTTAAATAGGCTGCAAACATCCTGGCCTCTGAAGGTTAATTTGCATTTGCAGTCATATGTCTGTATTTGTTGCTAATTGGTCATAGGATTAGATATGGGTTTCAGTGTTGACTTAAGGTATTTGTTTTCTTGTAGATATCAACTATTTGGAAAAATTCCTACAAGGGTGGTGAGTGGAGACCATGTGTAAACAAGTCTACTCCAGGAGGTATGAGAATACCTGTCGCTGAACTTAGATTTTGTTTGTTAAATATGTTGTGCTTGATGTATATGTACTTACGCTCCTAATGGCTTCATAGTAATGAGAAAGGCACTGACTGTATAAAATTATTAGCATATTGGCATGTATTGTGATCTAAGATTATCTTGCTCGCTCTCAGTTTATGAGTTATTTTCAGCAGCTGCTGTTCATTTGAAATTGCTAATTCTTTTGAGTTACATGGCTTGGAAATTAAATTACTGGGATTTTTAAGAAATAAGTGACTAAAGTAAAAGTATTAATTAGATCAATCGATAAGTATTGGGGTAACATTATAAATAATATGCATTCCTAAGATGTTTGCTGGAAGAGACTGCTCAAGAAAATTGTGTACTTCATTAAGTACTAGCAGACAGTGATCTAAGCTTCTGGCATATGAGGCGCTGTGAACTTAGAGTGATTAGCAATATACTGTTCCAAAGGGGTAGGCATTGGTTCTGTAAATAATTGCTTAGGAAAAAAAAGTTTCTTTAATAATGAAATAAGACATTGACATTTACAGAGGAAAGGTATACAAGAATTAGGCAATGAAATCAAAAACTGAGCATGGCTACAAAACTCCACTTTTTCAGATTGACAAAAAATTAGGAGATTCCTATTGGCATGAGTCAGTGGTATTTTGAAATTTGAATGCTTTGTACTTCATGAAGGAAGGAGGCTTTCTCTATCATATTACCATAACATACACATGAAAGCTTACTGAGACCAATGCCCTTTGTGGCTTTACTTCAGCAATAGGCCCAATTTTTTTTGGAGTTTTCTTTAGTCGATCACTATCAGGATTTTCTAATGATAGATCTGTTACCTTGCATATTGTTATGCTTCTACAGTGATTGTGAGTCAATTTAATGTCCTTTTCCCTACAGTTGCAAATAGGTTGTTTTTTTTAGTTTTTCCTGAATCCTTTAATGGAAAAACTTATAATAAGTCAATATTTCAAGTGTTTCGTTGAGAGAGTCCAACAGGGCTCACATTAGAACTAGAGTAGGAAGATTATGATCAAATTAATTATGACGCAAATTGATACATAAGAAGCTGCCGATGACACAAAACTAACCAGAATAGAAACATTCAAATTAAGACAATGATACTTGATTTACTTGTATTCTTTCTTTCCTTTTTTTTTTTGTTTTTGTTTTTTTTTTGTTTTTCTGTAGGTTATCTTAACCTTACGCTCCTGCTATGATGCTTGCCAATCAATATATTCCTGTGTTTATAATTCTGTTCTAGCTTGGCTGATGCAGTTTCATAGGATGTATCTGTTCTTGTAAATGATTTGTTGTTACATAATTTTGTTCATTTCTGAAAATATCTAATCTGAAACACTTGTATTTATAATAGGCTTGGCTGATTCAAATGGTTACATTTATGTTGAGGCAAATGGTGGCTTGAATCAGCAGAGAGCATCGGTCTGTTCATTGCATCGATAGTTCATTATCCACTTTCTACTGTCAATTTCGTTTTTAGAATTATCTTCTGAGTTTAATCCTTGTTTTGTTCTTTGGTTGTCATGATTGCCAGATATGCAATGCAGTTGCTGTGGCAGGCTATCTCAACGCCACACTTGTTATTCCAAATTTTCATTATCATAGCATCTGGAGGGATCCTAGGTGTGTTGTGGATTAATTACTGTTGTGATTCAATGTAATTCATATTTTAGTGTACTAATTTTTAGAGTTTAGTTCCATAAAATGGATTTCTGTAAAATGTAAAAGATCTCCTAAGTTCTAATTCCAGTGAATATACTTAAGTGGTCTTTTAGTTAAATGTCTTTTTTTTTTTTTTTTTTTTTTTTTTTTTTTTTTTTTTTTTTGCTTTTTCTAATAGGTAGTAAAATTCCTTTTTGGTACTTCCATTCATTTATTACTGCAACTTTTTCTTTTCATGGTCTCCAGGGCAAACCTTTCACCATTAATATCATAATTACATGTCACTGCCTTTGTTGATGTGGTGAGTGGATGTAAGAAATTGCGAATAAACTAAGCAAGTGTGTAAAAAGGTGGGTAGGTGTAAGAAAAAATAATTGGATTAAGTAAGGGAGAGTGAGTAGAAAAGTGTAAATTTTGTGGGGTAAGAGGGGTAAACTAGTAAAAGGAATTTGCTAAAAAAGGAATAAAGTGAAACTTTTTAGACTTTTTAGAAACGGATGAAAACGGAAAGTGTCAAGAACTTTCAGAAAATCATGTAAATTTGATGTTTACAAGATGCACCTTAAAACGTATCTAACGAGATCACAGGTGTTAAGCTATTTTTCATTGCATGAGTAAAAGAATATGGTCAAAGTTTGCGGAGTTTGACCACCATTTATGTGCTGATAATAAATAGAATGGGTGAAGCATTTGATAATTTGGAATCTTGTGAATTGACTCGGAGCTTTTATTTTTTTTGTAACTAATTTTGCTCCATGCTCTGCAGTAAGTTCAATGACATATACGATGAAGAGTATTTCATGAGTATGTTGCAAAATCACGTACGTGTGGTCAATATGATTCCTGATTACCTGATGGCTCGTTATGATCACAATATGAGCAATGTTTACAATTTCAGAATAAAAGCATGGTCTACTATTCAATACTACAAGGACAATGTCCACCCAAAATTGCTTGAAGAGAAGTGAGTGAAAAACCCTTTCCCTCTTTCAATCCATATAAGTTATGCTTCCCAATTTTTTGCTTCACTTTATTTATTTATTTATTTTATTATGTAAAATAGACTAAGTTCTGTTTTCCTACTATGTTAAAATTTGAATAAAAGCTGGAGGGAACTCTGTCATATATTAAATGTACTGCTATTGTTTCATTAATATCTGGCTATTTTGAATCATCTAAGTGGTTATGTACTACTCCTTATGTTTTTATTTAACTGATGGAGGAAGTATACCCCCCCCCCCCACCCCCCCGTCATGACGTGGGAATTTTCATCAGTAATATATTATTTATGAAGGACTGTGTTGGCACGGGCTGTGCTGCTGATCTCATTGCTCTAGACTATGGTCTTGGGTACATATGTTTCCTTTTCGTTGCACTTCCATTGCTCTAGAAGGGAGGGATGAGAGGAGGAGGACGTGAAGGGATCTAGAAGTCTAGAAGTGTTTATTTTTATTTTAAAGTAGAGATATGTAGATGTGTAGCTTGGTTTCTTAGCTACAATGTCTCATAGAAGCTTCAGGACATGCATCTTTATTTTAATATCTCTTATGGTGTCCTTCTAGTATATTTATAATAAACAAAAACCTGATAAGAGAAGTCCCTAACTATTGCCAGTCTTCTCTTATTAGTTCTACTCTAGTGTTACCTAAAAAATCCTAACTATGTTTTGTTTCTTCCCTAAATAATCCAATAAAATATATTGACTTACACATGTCAAGTTGTGATTGGTTATTGTCATTCCACCAAGATGCTTCTCTTTTTTAAACTGCCTTGTAAGGTTTTTTAGGTGGGCTTGATTCATTGTTATTATGCTGCATTGTAATATACTAACTGCTAAGTTGGGAACTACAATATTAATGGAATGCCATGGAAGTATTTAACGGATGAACTCTTCTTTGATGCCTATTAGTAATTTCCTTGCTTTGCTGATGGGCTGTTTGATGTGGTCGAGGATAAAGTGGGATTAGATGCATTGATGGAGGTTAAGTTTGGTCCAAAGCACGTGATAGATCAATATATATATATCAGAGGTGTTCCTGTCTATCTGATTAAATTGTTACTTAATGATGAGGGCAGGGTGGATGCAATTGTAGGTCTTGGTGCAAGTGATGTAACGGGAGAAAATAAGTATCTGGAAGAGGATTCTAGGGTTGCTGGAGTGGCTGTGAAGGATTGCTAAGGGAGAGAGAGGAGAGACAAGGGAGGAAAAAAATAAAAATCAAATTAAAATTTTCATGCTTTTTTGAGTTTTTGATTTTGAGTTATTTGCTATTATTTGGGGATGACACTGTACATAGTTGGGGTTATGTTGAGATTACCCATAGGTGGGGTTATTACAAGAAGATCAAAAATGATCGGGACTACTCTTAATAATTTAAGTTGACGAGATATACTACCAGCAATCCTCCTAATAAGATCTGAAAAAATGATTCCGAATTTGTGTATCTGATAAAGACCTTCCAAGAATAGTCCCTGTAGCTACTATTTTCCTAATTTTTTCCATATGATATTCAATGAGGGAGACGTGGTGTTCTCCAGGGGAAAAATAATAAGAATACAAAGTTCACAGCTCATAAGGAAAGAGCCATTTTATAGCAGTTGATATCTTGTTCAAGCTCACAGTTCTATTTCATTATTTTTCCGCAGTAAGTTGGTGAGACATCAAACAAGCTGTACATTTGTACTGCCCTTTGAAAATCCTTCCTATTGTATTGCACGGTATTTGATATCCTGACCATTCATTACCAATCAGCTTTATGTATCCAATTGCTTTAAAGGTTGTGACATTTTCTAAATCCACTATTGTACGCTTTTTTTTTTTCATCTGCTTTTTTTACTAATCATCTCACCTATACCCTGAGTGGTAATACTATTGAATTTAAGTGATTCTAGTAACTTAATTATCCGACTTCTGTAGACGTCTTGCCAGTAATTTTACTTGGATTAAGTTTTTGGAAGGACTTGATTTATGTTCTACTTTATGGTCCACTGTAGAAATTGTGACTATTATATCTGTTTGTCGTGTTTTTTTCTTGTTTTGTGTTCCTTGATTATTTTTTTTCCATCCAATTTCCTCTAATTTTTTCATGGAGGGAAGTCTTCTTCTCATTTTTTTTCGTTCCCCCTTTTCAAAAGTTTTTATGGTGAAAGTGGATGAAAGTTGTAACTATTAGTTATTTTATTTCCCAAGTCCTTGCCTAAAATAATTCTGGTCTGAGTTATATAAAGAAATATCTTTCCCCCACAAAGGACTTTACCATGCTGATCCTTTTGGTGGAGAACCAGTTGTCATCACTTTGTTGTTTTCCTTTGTTTATTAATGCTCCGTCATGTACAACTTAGGGTTATAAGGATCTCTCCATTTGCAAATCGATTGTCATTTGACGCTCCTCCAGCTGTTCAACGGCTTAGGTGCTTGGCTAATTATGAAGCTTTGAGGTTCTCAAGCCCAATCTTAACCTTGGGGGAAACGCTGGTTGCAAGAATGAAAGAGCGTAGTGCAAGTAGTGGTGGCAAATACGTATCCGTGCATCTTCGATTTGAAGAGGTTAGATTGGGTTATCTTGCTGTCATATTGTTTGAGAGTTCAGATTTTGCTGCTTCTGGGTGCTGGAGGGGACATACTTTATGATATTCACTGAAGTTGATTTCTTTTCTTTTTCTGGTTTTATTACAGGATATGGTTGCGTTTTCTTGTTGTATATTTGATGGTGGTAGGCAAGAAAGATTTGATATGGAGGCAGCAAGAGAAAGAGGTTGGAGAGGCAAATTTACTAAGCCTGGTAGGATCATTCGTCCTGGTGCCATCAGAATTAATGGAAAGTGTCCACTTACACCTTTGGAGGTAAGAACTTGTCGATTTGAGGCTTCTAGGTGGTTTAACTTGGTTATTATGTGGTTTATTAACCCCCTCCCCTTCCATTTTTTTTCCCTCATGCAACTCATTTTAGGATGTGTACGAAGCTGTAAAACCATTTCATAATTAGACAAAAATGTTTGGTGAATACCTTGTTCTGTTTTGTTGCTCTCTATAGCAATCTAGTTTTACAGCTAAGTAGGGTTTTGTTTGTTTCTTTGCATGTTGGTTTGTTTCTTTGCATGTTTGTTTGTTTGTGTGTGTGTTATGGAATCCCATTCTGAATTTCAAGAGCAGCATGATAATTTATGTTGCAGAAACTGGCAATTATAGATTGTTTGGTAAGATTTGCAAGAGTTTTGTTATTGCTTCATAATATCTTTTCAGGGTGCTGTATACTCTGTACTATGCACTTCTTACCATAACACATATCCGTGTGCACATAATGCTCTTGCATGTGAAAGGAGGCTGATATTCAAAATTTCAAATATGCAGACCTTGCCCTTGCTATCACTGAGAGGATGTTTCTGGTAGACCCTTACTCTAAACATTAACCTACTGTAGTCTGAAGCTCTGATCTGATGCCCTGTCTGCTATGATCACTGACATTTAGCATCTAATGTGGAAATAATATGTAGAAAAAAATCATGCATTTGGGAAAGGCAATAGGAATATTAACTGGACTGTTCATTTATTTTTGGGAAATTCCCATTGGTGGACCTATATTTTTGCATTTTACTTTTGGTTTCCATTTATTTAGGAAATCTAACAAGTTTTGTATTCTTAATTATTTTATGAAGTAACTATGCTGTTTGGAGTCGATTCATTTAAAGTATTGGTCACAATCCACAACACTTGCTTTCACAATCTGTATAATTTTTTTCCCAGGGGAGTAAGGTTTACAAATTACAAGGATACTTGGTTAGTTACATTAAAAACATGAGGGAATCGGTTTTTATTGCTAAGCTTCTAAGGGCTAACCTAACCTCATTTAGTATGTAAATCTTTTTGGAGGTACCCTGTGAAAATATTTAAATATGAATTGTTTGGGGTTTTGAATGAATCACCTCGAATTACAGAAGTACTGGGTAAAAGATATCAAGCTATTGACTAATTGACTAGGCATGCAGTAGTAAAAGAATTTCAGGAATAAGGATAAGCAAAACTGATGCTTAGAAGGCTTATGCTTATCCTAGATATTTTCAGCTGTTTGTATTTCTGCAACACTGGATAAATGCAAATATATTAGAAAACCTATGGGGGTTTTTTATGCACCAACAGCTATATTAAAGGCAAATTGGATTTTCAATGAACTTAAGATCTCAAAGAGCCTATGAAAAGCATTCAATAAAAGGGACATTAAAGTATAGCAATCTTACTTTATTTGTTCCTTGTTGAGACCTAAACTGGTAATCTTGGGAGGGTAAACTATTGTAAGGGTCCTTTGGCTGTGAGTATTGGTTGGAATTCTATTACGATAACAGTCCAAGCCAAAATCTTCATCATATTCATATGGGGGACTTCTACCTTATTTTCTCCTATACAAACTTGGAAGGAGTATTAGAATTGGATAAATTTCAAGAATTAGTACAAGTATTAACAGCTCAACTAAGAATTTGGATGCGGGCTTTATTCATGTATTGCTTTAACCCTTGAAAAAGACACGAGTATTAGTATAATTGTCGTCTGCTCAGCCATGATTGTCATAGGACTTTTGAAGAGCCCATTCTTATGTAACTCTTGGTCATGTATATTTGAACATCTTGTCTTTAGAGCTCCGAGAAATTTGCTCTTGAAGTGTTACATACTTACATAGGACTTTTTTTTTTTTCCTTAACTTTTCCCGTGACTTACATTTCAAGACATATATTACTCCGTATATTTAAGTCTTTCTGAAGATACGTTGCAATGTAAAGTTTACATTTATGTTTGCCTTTTGAATCAGGTTGGTTTGATGCTTCGTGGTATGGGCTTTGATAGAAATACATCTATATATTTGGCTTCAGGAAAGATATATGACGCTGAAAGAAATATGGCCCCATTATTTGAAATGTTTCCTCTTTTGCAAACTAAAGAGATGCTTGCATCTCCAGAGGAATTGGCACCATATCAGGTTTGTATATTAGCATCCTTTGCATTATATGCTTTTTGTCTGGTAAAATTTCTTACTCCTAGTCCCCCCCTTTTCTCTCCTTTATTACTCTTCCCAGAATTATTCTTCCAGGATGGCTGGTATAGACTATACAGTTTGCCTTCATAGTGAAGTTTTTGTTACCACTCAAGGAGGTAATTTCCCTCATTTTTTGATGGGGCATCGGAGATACTTGTACGGTGGGCATTCAAAGACAATTCGTCCGGATAAGCGAAAGTTGGCACAAATTTTTGATAATCCTAGTATTGGGTATGTATCAGTCTCTTAATTATGGTGTCTTTATGTTCTATTAGTTACTTTATGTCTTATAAGTGGATTGGTGTGTTTTCCTATTTGAAGGTTTTAAGGATTTTGGGCCAATTCAGATGCTTTTGGATCTGCATTGAATGTTCTTTGATTATCTTAATTCTTATCTAACTAGTACAAACACAGATCAGAAATCATGCGTGTAAAATACTTGACTTTTTTTTTTTTTTTTAAACTTTTTTTCCCCCCTTTTTACATTCCAATTTTGTGATTCAGTTGAAGGTAGAATATGGAGGAAATTAGACGCTCAAGGAGGTGTGGAGGTTAGGACTTAGGGGTTAGGGCGCATATTTGCTCCTTTTGTTCTACTTATAAGGGTCGTAGTTCGTAGAAACCTTAAAAAATAAAAGCGTTTGAAGTTAAGTCTTTCAAAGATCTTAATATATATTTCTCCCTGGAACCCTTGGCTATTAGATTTGCTGTTGATTGTTTAGTTTTAGGAAAAAAGAATAAAAATAATTGTTTCATCTAAAGAAAAATTCTTTAAAAATCCAAATAGTTTGGATTTGATTGGACTCATCAGGTTTATAAACGTTAGGTGATTTATCCATGGTAACCTTGAGGCTTTAGAGAATTAGAGTAACATTTAAATTGACCCTATGATTTTGCAAATACTTGAAGTAACCTTGGATTATTGGAAAATCTTATCCAATAAACTCACTGCTAAAGGGAAGCTAAAGTTGTTAAAAATAAAAATGGTTTTTCTCTTCCCCCTGGATCCTTCCTCTTTTCTATCAATTGTGTATTTTCATACCTCTGGAACAGGATAAGATAAGGAGAAAAACTATCGAGAGAAAGAGATGTAAAAAGAGATTTAAATATAACCTTTTAAATGCACAAGTTGATAAAGAGTGTTTAAACAGTCTAGTCATGATAAAGAGAAAGGAGAAGAAAGAACGGAAGAATAAGGAGTATGTATACTGAGAGAGAGAGATGTGAAGAGGAGGAAATATAAATCAAAATTTTAAAAAGTACTAGTTGATAAAGAGAGTTTAAATAGTTTATTGTGATAAAGAGAAAGGAGGAGAAAGAATGGAAGAATAGGAAGCATATATAACAAGAGAGAGAGAAATGTAAAAAGAAGGAAATATAAATAGAACTTTTAGAAAGCACAAGTTGAAAGAGAGTTTAAATAGTCTAGTAATGATAAGGAGAAGGGAGGAGGAGAAAGAACAAAAGAAGATAAGGTATGAGTATTTTTGACAATGCTAGATTGCCTTAAGGTTCTTTTGGATACGACTCCCTGATCTCATCTTAAAAACATAGGGTCAATTTGAGTATTTTGCTAAAACTAGTGGTGGATTGGGGGTGGGGGGATATTGGGGAACAATTACACCTGTATTCCTATCCCTTGAAAGTGGCATAAAAACAAACTTTGAATAATGTTTTCACAAGTTTAAATCTGGCAAGTCGTTGGAAGAAATTTGTCAACGGTATTCATCTCTCTCTCCGTAAATGGGGGTTGTGTGAACTGTATCAGCATGGTGATGCTTACTTGCTTAGAAGTGTTGGTGAACATGCTTGTAGTCTGTACAACTATTTATATTGGCTCTTTGGGCTTGCTTGTTGTGGATTGTATTGTAACGTTTTACCTCTTTTCTGTTCTTCATTTGTTTTAATAATATTTTTATAGCTTAGTCCTGGAATGAATTGTATTTGCAAAGTTATGATGTTAATATCAGCTAAAGTGCATTTTTACCGGGTTGGCATAATCAGATGGAAAACATTCAAGAGGCATATGCTAAACATGCGATCACATAGTGATTCCAAGGGTTTCGAGCTTAAAAGGCCAAATGACTCTATATACAGTTTCCCATGTCCTGACTGTATGTGCCGAATCGGTAAATCGGAAGATTCGAGATCAGCGTCTGCAACGTGATCTCCTGCCATCAGAATCATATGGATAATCTTTCATGTTAATGATTCTGCAGATGTGGCTAACTGCCAAATCTTATTTACATTGATTCTTTGATTCTTTTCCCTTTTCCTTTGTGGAAAAAAAAGGGTAACACAGTTCAGTTTTGGAACTCCAACAATTTGGTTGGATGGTGTGGTCTGATTATTTGACCAGAGAAAGGCATCACATCTTTTTGTACATGATCTGGAAGTAGAAGTGACGCCACAGTATCTTTGCATTGAAGGAATTGCTCTGGTATTGACTATACACTCGGTTGCAGCTGCTGATATTGCCATTTGTTTATCCACTAATTTTGTCCATTCTTTTCTTTTTTTTTTTTTCTTTTAATTAATTTTTTAATTATTGTATATACGATTTGGAATTGTAAAATTGTACAAAGCATGTTGGAGCTCTGTACAAGTTTTTTTGTTATCATCTAGAGTAATTCATTCTTTCAAAATAGTGTTGTACTTGTGTGCGTGCATCGCTTTCTGGTTTTTTTGTTTTGAGGTTAATGTAGATAGGTTAGGAATTAGGCTGTGCTCCGTTGTAGATGCAGCTCCAGCCAACTGTTGTACTCGTTCATGTGAGTATGATCTCAAGAAATTGACTGCAGAAACTCCCTATTTGACAGTCAGAATACAGGATCTATCCTTCTCATTGCAAACTATCCCTTGTGCTTCAAATTGCCTTGTCAAGAATATACGAAGTAACTAATAGTCACGCAGAAAAGTGTTTTTATTAATAAAATTAATTTTTAATTTTTAATCTACTTTGCACATCCTTAATTCTTTAGAACAATACTTCTGCATATTCTTAGAATGAACACTAACATCTACTTGTAGTTCATTACTCTTCATGTCCCAAATTACTCGCAATGTTTTGATTTATCTTAAATTATTCAATAATTTCACTTAGATCATCTTGTTTTTCTAATATATGAAATCAAATATTTTAACCTGTTAACTGCTAGCATGTTTGACAACATTTCCATTCAGTTTAAATATAGGCTTGTTAGTGCTCTTATAGTCACAGTATAGATACTTGGTCTATAGGAATCGGGTCAATTTTAACTTGTTTATTGCGAGCATATACTTGGTAAAATCTCGAATTGTATCCTAAGGTCCTACAATTTTATGATACAAAAACTTGTCATTAATCTAGATCTTAGGTAAGATCTTATTGTTTGTAGCTAGGGTATTTGATCCTACCTAGATAAAGGATTAGAGTGGTAGGACTTATATCAATTTCTCGATTTTATGTTATGACAATCGAAGATGATAAACAATTTTTACATTTATTTTGTTTTGGGAAATTATCAACGATACACTTTAGGTTTTGACTTTTATTAATGATACACTTCATTAAACTTTTATTATCACCGGTACACCTAATTTTTTCTCTAATTAACTACAGTAACCTTAACGTTAACTAAACGTTAATTATGTTTGATTGCCACCATTCACACCGATGAAACTCACCTCCCCTGCTAATCCCCTGTTCCACCATTCACACCAATATACCTCCCCTGCTCCTCTCAATTACCCACGCAGCACCACTTCACGCCCCCACAGTGCCACCACCATTTCAACCACCATCCACCAAACACAACCAGCAGCTCGCCATCTCACCGCATCACCAGCTCCAACTCCCACGCATTCCCACACCCAAACCACCTCCAATCACCACCACAACAACTACAACAGCAACAGTCACGCATCCCCTGCATCAACCTCAATTAATTACAGCACCGTCACTGCCTAGAGCAGCGCCTCTAGCTTTGCAATTCCCCACTGCAACCGCTTCCACCATCTCCAACCACCCCCAACCAGCAACCCAACCCAAAACCAATATCGGATTAGACTCAACATATTTCGGATTTGAGCTAGGTTTGCTTTCAAATGAGGAGAAAGTTCAATTCGCTCAACCAATTTTTTCTATTTCATGGGTCAGTTTGTGATTTATGGTTAAGTTGAAACAAATTGCTGACCAACTAGTTCAAAATGTGGTGATTAATCAATATGATTAAAATTCGTATTAGTTAAAGTAATATGATCAAAACGGATAATGTAAATTGTGCCAAAAGTCAGTATGGTAGAACTAACAATATAGAAGATGATGTTTTTTTTTTTTTTTTTTTTTGAAGAAATAGAAGTCAGTTCTTTTCTTGTCTATTGTTGTTTCAGGTGGGGGAAGGAAGGAGAAGGTTGTCGAGGGGTGGTTCGCATCGAGGTTAGTGGTTAGCGGCGGGGGTAAGGGGAAAGGAAAGGGGTCGTCCGATGGTGGGGCTTGGTTGCTACGGGTGGGCGGTTCTGGGCGATGGGTTAGATGGGGGAGAGGGGCTGCCGGCAGGGGAAGGGGATGAGGTGGCTGGATAGTGGTGGGGTGGTTTTTATTTTTTTTTAATGTTGTTGGTTGGGCTTGGAGGGAATGTTAATGAGTAGGGGGACATTTTAGTCAAGCCAAGTCAGACCAAAAACGCTGTCAACTAAACATAATTAACGTTAAGGTTACTGTAGTTAATTAGGGAAAAGTTTAGGTGTACCGGTGATAATGAAAGTTTAATGTAGTGTATCATTGATGAAAGTCAAAATTTGGAGTGTATCATTCATAATTTCCCTTTTGTTTTTGATAATATGAGTTCATAGTCACGAAAGAGCCCCAATTTATTACTTTGATAAACAAAATTCGTTTATCAAGTGGCAAAATCGTAAATAAATCAACAAATATGTCAACATTTTCGTAATTATATTAGCAACCGTGGGTCCCATATTTACAAAAAAATTATTGATTTATTTACAGTTTTGTCATTTAATAAACTAAATTTGTTTATAAAAGTAATAAACTTGTATTTTCTCTGATCCATAATCACATATCATTGAAATCATTAAATCATTGTAGCTCAAAAGCTAAGAAAATCAAATAAATTCATATAATAAACTTGTTAAGTTAAGGCTTGAGATTATTATATCTTTCATTTTATTAGTTTCGACATCTATGCTCATCTCTTATTAATTACAGCTCGTGTGATGCTTTTAGCAGCTTTTACCTATGAAAATACTTAACAAGGCTTCTTATTATTAGCAAGAATAGTCATTATAATTGATAAATAAACCTTATAAATTAGGGAAATTCTCTTTGATAACACTATAGTTTTTATTTTTGTTAGTGGTAAATTGCAAAAAAACTTATTATCCTTGGTAAACTTTAATTAGTTATAATTATTCAATGGTAAACTTAATAAAATAATTTAGTCAATTCTTAACCATGGTTGGTGACCGTTGTGAGAAAATAGAGGGGTGTCACTCACCCGCTCCACTAGCATTGGCAGAAACTTTGCTTTGCTTGAATTACCTTAGAGGAGATCCAAACGAAAACGGTTTCACCGGAAGTCCACTCCTATTACACGTACGTTTTTTTTCACGTACTCGTCAGCGCGCGCAACTCTAAAGGTTGTGCTGGTATGCCGAGCGCAAGTTTCAAAGTTACGCTCGGAAAGCACGCACGATTCATTGTAAAATTCACAATGTAGGGAAATTCGCAATCTGACAATCTCTCTGTTTTTTTTTTATTTATTTTTATTTTTTTAGATTTGGCTCATGGAGCTGATGAGGAAAAGTAGGTTGTTGGTCCACTACCCTAAATCAAATTAGAAATTAATAAACCTAAACTTACACTAAACTAGTTAGTGGCAAGAAAAGGGTCGAACCCACAAGGAAGTACACGAGTTTAAACACCAAAATCACTAATGCAAGAGTCAGTAGAGAATATATTTTATTTTGGTTTTCTTTGATTAAAAACACTAAAACAACTAAGAAAGAGAGCCTATGGAGGATTAAACCGAAGGAAAGGAAGTATGCTAGGGGGTACGGGGGTGTCAATCACGATAAACAAAGATAGACAATGATGATTATCATGAAGAACATGCCATGGAATACAAAATTCTACCTAAACAATTCACTCCCATGCAGTTGTCCAAGCAATCAATGAATGAGGTCTTGGCCTAATCAAGATCACTTCCGCGCATCCAATAAGACACTAATTAAAGCATGAGAATAAGAGTGCAAAAAAACATGAAGCTCTGCTTAAACAATCTTTTCCATGCAATCATTCAAGTAGATTGAGAAAAGTGATCTTATCCTAATCTAGAAACTTTCTTGCTTTTAATTGATGTGGTTGCGCACCCTCTCCTTCACCGTGCGCGCTCTCTCTACTTAATCTTGTTAGCTTCTCCTCTCCTTCTCCATTGTTCTTCACTTCAAAGCTTCATCCTTTGAATCTTGGCCTCTCCTTGTCCCATGGACACACTTAGACACTTCAAGCACTAGAAAAAGGATCAAAGAAAGGCAAAAATAAGGAGGAAAACACGCAAAACTAAGCAAGAAACCGAGGATAATGCACGTTATTGCAAACTAAGGCCTAAAAACATAAACTAAGACTTTATTAACTAAAATAAGACTAAAAGGACTAGAAATAACCAATATAGACCAAAATAAACCTAAAACTAAGGGAGAAAACCACCCTAAACTGTGTCATAATTGACACTTATCAGGAGCGCTTGTGAATCGTCGATCAGCCACAAAATCTTGAGGCTAATGGAGTGAAATCGTTCCCTGGTCGTCGCATCCTTTACAAACATAAGAATGAAGAGGAATGGACGACTTTTTTCCATCACGGGGTTCCTAACATACGCTTTGTGATTCCTTGGTAGAACTTAAGTAGTATGATTGGGAATAGTCCAAATTGTCCCTATATTCGCCTCGTGGGTCTTTCTAGTACTATTTTCATATTTCCTTGCAGGGTTATGAGACAATACGGGATGAAACAACTTATTCCTCCACAAGATTGTGATGCTCCCACGGATGTGAATTTTAAGGCTGAGAGGATTCCCCATTGGATCGAGTATGGAGTAATCTCCCAAAGTGGGTAGTGCAAAATCCCGCTGCGAGTACAATCTTAGAGGAATGCAGCTGACAAGGGAGAGTTGAACAAGGTGCGTCAACAAAACCAAGCCGCCTCGGCTCGCAATCCACTTAAGCCTCTAGTGCAATCGACCACTACTACTCCTACTAGTGGCCAAAACAAAGGAGTGAGGAGAAAGTTAGAATTTTCGTCATCTCCTAAGGCTCGTTCAAGAGAACCTAAAATTAAGGTTGCTCCCAAACCCGTGCAACAAGGCATTAAAATTAAAGAACCATCCTCGAATCCTCGAAAAAAGGCTCCTTCAATCTCAAAGAAAAGGGGAAAAAGGTAGAAAAGGCTCCCATTCCCAAGTTGAAGAACAATGTGTGGGTTTTGAAGGAAAAAAGGAGAAGGTGAAACTTCCAAGGCCACTGAGAATACTGCTATGGACACTCCTCCTCCTTCAACTATATCGATTGAGGATATAGTAAAATCTTAGTGTGTTACATAATAACAATGATATTTTATTTTATTTTGAATAAAGTGTAATCACTATTAAAAATCTATTTATCATTATTATCTAGGTCTATGATGTACTTTTCAATGCTTTTATATTTTAAAATAAAAAGAGCTCTTATTTAATTTGTTGTTTATTTGACTGAATCAAAGATTGCTTACGTATTTGTATTATGAAATCAGATCTCGCGTAGTTCTTGTTCAACAACAATTTATAATTTTTT